GAGTCTCGCTCTCTTCCCAGGCTGGAGTGCAGTGACATAATCTCGGCTCACTGCAGCCTCTGCCTTTCAGGTTCAAGTGATTCTCCTGCCTCAGCCTCCTGAGTAGCTGGGACTACAGATGCCACACCTAGCTAATTTTTGTATTTTTAGTAGAGACGAGGTTTTACCATATTGGCCAGGATGGTCTCAATCTCTTGACCTTGTGATCCGTCCACCTCCCAAAGTGCAGGGATTACAGGAGTGAGCCGCCACCCCCAGCCTAGACTTGCTTTACATAGATAGAGCAGTATTCAAGTACAGAGATTGGCACACCATGGCCCATAAGCCATGTCTGTCTCTCCACATGTTGTTCATATGTAAAGTTTAATCAGAATACAACCGTGTTCATTTGTTTATGTTTTCTATGGTGTTTTCCATGCCACAACAGCAGAGTTGAGTAGTTGCAACAGAGACCGTATGTCCCATAATGACTAACATATATTTTGTGGCTCTTTAGAGTGGGATTCGTTAACTGCTTATCTGTTTCATTTCTACGGACAACACGATTAGTTAGCCACCCTCACAGATCTCTGTAGGTCAGGGCATTCTGATTACTAGTACATTTCCACTGTCTTTGATAGTTGATTTGCTCACCTTGTCTTTGGTAATTAAATACTACTCTCTTGATTTCTGCTATTCTGGGTCCTCTTCATCTCGACTGAAATCAGGGAACTCATCTCAGCCATGGTATTCATTGCAGTCATACCTGTCCTATGAAGAATACTAGCAGAGCTGTTCGAGGAGTACGATACTCCTCTCACTCCTCTCTCAATAACCTTTGTGAAGAGAGTGTCTTCTGCACTCTCAACAGAGGACGGGGAAGTTAGCTATACAGATCACACATAGTAAATCCAGTGACACTCCTATCTCTAGGATTCCCTCTTTCCCATTATACCAGGGAAGCTCTGGCATATGAGTCTCATTAATTATAACAATTTCAGCTCTGAGAACATAAGAAATAGCCTATTTCAGGGGTGTTCTAAAGAAGCTCTCTGATTCTTCTCTTTTTTTTTTGAGACAGACTCACTCTGTTGCCCAGGCTGGAGTGCAGTGGGATGATCTTTGCGCACTGCAGCCTCCGCTTTCTGAGTTCAAGCGATTCTCCTGCCTCGGCCTCCTGAGAAGTTGGGACTACAGGCACATGCCACCACACCCGGCTAATGTTTGCATCACCTGAAACAGGTCAGGCGGTGGCAGAGGTTTCAGTGAGCTAAGATTGTGCCACTGTACTCCAGCCTATGACAGAACAAAAATCCATCTCAAAAAAAAAGAGGGAGAGAGAGAGATGTAATACACCCATGATATGAAAAAAGCTCCAAAAGACACAATATTCAAACTTTTGACAACACTATGAAAAAAACAATGATCTCTGCCTAGCATGGTGGCTCAAGCCAGTAATCCCAGCACTTTGGGAGGTCGAGGTGGGTGGACCACCTGAGGTCAGGACCAGCCTGGGCAACATGGTGAATCTCCTCTTGTCTACAAAAATACAAAAACATTTAGGCGGGCATGATGGCGGGTGCCTGTACTCTCAGCTGCTCGGGAGGCTGAGGTGGGAGAATCGCTTGGACCCAGGAGGTGGAGGTTGCAGTGAGCCAAGATCTCGCCATTGCATTCCAGCCTAGGCAACAGAGTGAGACTGTCTCAAAACAAACAAACAAAACAATGATTTCTCTTTGCACTTGCATTATTTCCTATTTGAATGAAAGTTTTTAATGGTTTTTATTTTAATTTTTTGGAGACAGGGTCTCACTCTATCATATAGGCTGGAGTACAGTGGTGCATATGGCTTCTTGCAGCCTCAGCCTCCCAAAGAGCTAGGATTACAGGCATTAGCCACTGCACCCACTCTTTACTGGTTTTTAAATGTGTATTTAAGCCTGAATGGTGGATATTGGGTCAGAAATAACTGATCTCCTCAGGGCACAAAAGATGAGATACATGAAATTTGAGCTCTTTTAAAATAGCTTCACTGCTCTCTTTAGGAATACAGTTAGTTTTTCTTGGATAGATTTGTCATCTCTTGCATAAGCCTCTTCCATTGATGTGTCTTTCCATCTGCACAGGACCTGTTCAAACTCAGTCTGTGTCTTGACTGGAGGAGGAGGAGGAAAAGTTGAGCACATTGCCAATAGGAGTTCTCCAAGGTGAGTGTGAAGAACATTCCTGGTCAATGAGAAGTTCAGTGTGTTTGGAATATAATGAAGACATTTAAAAGATGTACTTTGTCACAGAACATGGGGCCTTTGGACTTGGAAGTTTTAGGGAATCTTCAACTTTCCATATTCCTCTCTTTTTCATCTAACCCAGACTTTCATATGATTTTGCAAACAATCTGCTCTTTTTTCTTTTTATGATTTCAATGTGTGCTTTTCATCCAGATCGTTCCTACTTTTCTTTCCTAATAATACCGCTTCTGTTCACTATCGTTTAATTTCTATAGAGTAAATTGTTTAAAAAAATTACTAAATTGCCAGGCACAGTGGCTCATACCTGTAATCCCAGCACTTTAGGAGGCTAAGGCGGGCAGATCACTTGAGATCAGGAGGAGGTGAAGACCAGCCTGGCCAACATGGTGAAACCGTGTCTCTACTAAAAATACAAAACTTAGCCAGGTGTGGTAGCACTCGCTTGTAGTCCCAGCTACTCAGGAGGCTGAGGCAGGAGAATCTCTTGAACCCGGGAGGCGGAGTCCAGTCAGCCAAGTTCATACCACTGCACTCCAGATTGGGCAACAGAGTGAGACTCCGCCTCAGGGAAAAAAAAAAAAAAGAACAGCTACAATTTGGGTGACCATGTGATTAAGTTTATGGTAGTCCAGTCATTCTCCAAGATTAATGTGACTTCTGCACAGGGCAGAGTAGTATGTTTAATGAGAATGAGGAAGTAGTAAGTATCGTAACCCCTGGCCCTTATGGTGGCGTTATTCTTTGTAGTTCCCCAGGATATATTACTTCTAGTTTATTATATTAGCAGATGAGTAATTCCCAGTGCCTCCAGTTTGCTTTTTCTACCATAACGGTCCTCACCTTACTGATCAGAGAGCCAATTTTAGGGATGCTGCTAGTTCCCAGAAATTGCTGTCTTCCGATTATATATTCAGGAACTGGGGAAATAATGATGGAATAGGTCCATAGTTCAAGTGGGCCCTCGATAAGTACAAATGTGTTAAGACACTATCTATCACTGAACTACCTAAGTCTTCACTTTGATAGTGGCCCACAGTGGTCTTTTGGGTCCTCAGAATATGGTTTCAGCTCGGGGCCACTTTGTTAATTGTCTATATTTTCTTTTTTTCTCAGATGGAGGCTCACTCTGTTGCCCAGGTTGGAGTCCAGTAATGTGATCTCAGCTTGATGCCTCCTGGGATCAAGCAATTCTCCTGCTTAGGCTATAGAGAGCTATGATTGTGCCACTGCACTTCAACCTGGGCAACAGAGTAAGACCCTGTCTCAATAGATAGATTGATACATAGATAGACAGAGTTACTGATAGCTATTGGGAAAGATGGTTATGATAATTACGTGACCATGTATATATAAAGCTACTAGAGCTACTTCTGACATACTAGTCCTTAGTAAATGTCAGTCGCCATTATTAATACTGTCGTTACTGAGTGACGATATTGAGTGGATATTTTGGTGTTTTTCACATCTGTCACCTGCAGAGAGAAAGCTGATGCATAATGTTCGATGACTGATGTTTGATATTTGCTGTTTGATGATTGATATAAACAGGACCACAAACAACCGTGTACAAAGAGGAATGGAGATTGCCTCTCTCCACCTAGGTTCATAAGCTTCCCTGAGGCAAACTTGGCATGAAGGAAGAGAGAGCATTGAGGCACATCTCACAATCAACTTCAAAGGATGGCAGCCATTGATTTGTCCTGTGGTAAGTCCTTGTTGATGCTCTTTTTCAGAGATTCTGCATTAGGTTACCTGCCACAACATAAGAGTGCAGTGAGCTGGGACTGAGCAGGCATGCCGCTGGTTCTCTTTTTTTTGTTTCATTTTGTTTTGTTTTTTTGAGACAGAGTTTTGGACTCGTTGCCCACTCTGGAGTGGAATGGCGGGATCTCAGCTCACCACAACCTCTGCCTCTGGGGTTCAAGCAGTTCTCCTGCCTCAGCCTCCCAAGTAGCTGAGATTACTGGCATGCACCACCATGCCTGGCCAATTTTGTATTTTTAGTAGACATTGGGTTTCTCCATATTGGTCAGTCTGGTCTTGAACTCCTGACCTCAGGTGATCCGCCCACCTCAGCCTCCCAAAGTGCTGGGATTACAGGTGTGAACTACTGTGCTCAGCCACCACTGGTTCTTCTAGAGGAATTGAAGTGAGATACAATGCTGGTTTTTAAAATTAATTAATTAACTTTTTTTTGAGATGAAATCTTGCTGTGTCACCCAGGCTGGAGTGCAGTGGCATGATCTCAGCTCACTGCAACCTCTATTTCACGGGTTCAAGCAATTCTTTGCCTCGGCCTCCTGTAATTTTTTTTTTTTCTCTATATATAGAGACGGGATTTCACTATGTTAGCTAGGCTGGTGTCAAATTCCTGACCTCAAGTGATTTGCCTGCCTTGGTTTCCCAAAGTGTTGGGATTACAGGCATGAGCCACTGTGCCTAGCCAGAATGGTGTTTTAGAATTCAGCCCTGGTTTGTGTGCCTTAGGAAATGCTACATAAGCTTCATGAATTTTACTAGTATGGGCAGATAGTCACATTTTTCAGGGTGTAATTTTCTTGTAAAATGAAACTGTTACCCTTTACCCAACAGGCAGCTCGGCCCACATCTGCTTTTCTGAGTCTAGGTGACAAGGACTACTGTGGCATTTCATGGGAGTGTTGTCTGTCTGCAGTTTTCTCAAGTGTGCAGGAGTATATGGGAATTTCAAACTGGGATAGAGTGACTTCTAGGCATGTGAATGTGGGAAGTACAGGTAGCTCTGGCTTCTCATGCCTTCTTACTTTTCCACTAGGGTTTTTTTCCAGGGAACCAATCTGCCCTTTTGAAGAAAAGACAAAGGTAGAAAGGACGGTGGTGGACTACCTGGCAAATGGTTATCAGGTAAAGTGAAAATGTACTGTTGTACAAAATGTCATACCTTCATCCAGTAGGTGGACACATTTCCTTCTAGACAGACTCATCTCTAGAGTTCTCTTAGAGCAAATGAAGCCTTACTGAAGGACGAGTCCCCAGATGAATTTCCCCAGGGAATGAAATCTCCTATAGATAAAATGTTAATTTGAAAATCATCCCGTGATCTCAGTAATAACTAATTAAGCTTGACCTTCATGGTGCCAAGTGCATCTTTCTTTGATTGCTGGGTGACAGATGATAAGGCAGATGAAAGTGTCCTTTTATCAAATAATTTATTCACGCATCAGTATTTATCAGATATCTGCAGTGTGCTCAGGAGTGTGCTGCATAGAGACAGATGGGACAGGAAGAGCTTCTAGCGTGGTTGTGGTTGTGCTAAGATAAAGTGTAAGCTGTGGGCAGTGGCTCATGCCTGTAATTCCAGCTACTCAGGAGGCAGAGGTCAGAGGAGCACTGCAGCCCAGAAGATCGAAGCCTCAGTCAGTCACCAGTGATTGTGCCTGGGTGACACAGTGGGACCCTGTTATTATATATAAATAAACACAGATTAGATGGATGGATGGATAGGTAGATAGCTGCTAGATAGGTAAAAATTCATGTTTAGGAAGTGCTATTCTAATCAAAATCAAAATAAGAATTTAAAATTTAAAAATAAAAAATGTTTACAAATTAAAAATAAATAGATTTAAAAAATGATTTAAAAAAATTTTTTAAACGTGCTGTCTGACTGGTCACAGTGGCTCATGCCTGGAATCTCAGCGCTTTGGGAAGCTGAGGCGGGCAGATTACCTGAGATCAGGAGTTCAAGACCAGCCTGGCCAACATGATGAAACCCTATCTCTACTAAAAATAAAAAATTACCCAGGTGTGGTGGCACGCGCCTGTAGTCCCAGCTATTCGGGAGGCTGAGGCAGGAGAATCCCTTGAACACAGGAGGTAGAGGTTGCAGTGAGCCGAGATCGCGCTACTGCACTCCAGCCTGGGTGACAATGAAACTCCCTCTCAAAAAAAAGTTCTGTTCAAGGCACATGCCTATAGGAGGTCAACTTTGAGTGTTTAGACACAACAGCTCCTGAGACATTAAACCCTGGAGTAGATGTTGGGAGATCTCAGAACCACATATAAGCGAGTATAAGGTTCCCCTTCCTCATTCCACCAGTGAACATTGGTGCAAGTGTTCATTGGCTCAAACCAGCATATGTGTGATGACTTAGGATTCAGTGACCTTTGATGATGTTGCTGTGGAGTTCACCCCAGAGGAGTGGGCTTTACTGGACACAACTCAGAAATACCTCTACAGAGATGTGATGCTGGAGAACTACAAGAACCTGGCCTCTGTGGGTAAGAGTCACATCATTTTGCTGGGCATGGTGGCCTGCACCTTTAGTCCCAGATACTTGGGAGGCTGAGGTGGGAGAAGCGCTTCAGCCTGGGAGTTTGAGACTAGCATGGGCAACATTGTGAGACCTCATTTCTAAAAAAAAGATTAAAAAAATAAATAAATAAAGACTAGGCCGGGTGCAGTTGCTCATGCCTGTAATCCCAGCACTTTGGAAGGCCAAGATGGGCAAATCACCTGAGGTCAGGAGTTTGAGACCAGCCTGGCCAAAATATTGAAACCCTTTCTCTACTAAAAATACGAAAAACTAGGCAGACATGGTGGTGGGTGCCTGTAAACCCAGCTATTAGCTTGGGACAGAAGAACTGCTTGAACCCAGGAGGTGGAGGTTGCAGTGAGCCGAGATTGCGCCAAGGAACTCCAGCTGGGGCGACAGAGGGAGACTTTGTCTCAAAAAAATAAATAAAGACTAGCAGACTGGCACAGTGGCTCACGCCTGTAATCCCGGCACTTTGGGAGGCGAAGGAGGGCAGATAACGAGGTCAGGAGTTCAAGACCAGCCTGGCCAATATAGTGAAACTCCGTCTCT